CCCTAGAGCCTAAATTTAAACCCTAAACCCTAAACCCTAAACCCTAAACACCAAGCCCTGATATGACCCCCTTAACCAGCAAAGTCGTGCACCCAGGTGGCTGGATGGCCCTCTCTGGGCTGGGCGGCCAATCCGGCAGCTGCCCCTGGCAAGTTTAAGGCGGGGTTTAGGGTTAGGGTTTAGGGTTTAGGGTTTAGGGTTTAGGGTTTAGGGTTTAGGGTTTAGGTTTAGGGTTTAGGGTTTAGGGTTGAGGGTTGAGGGTTTAGGGTTTAGGGTTTAGGGTTAGGGTTTAGGGTTTAGGGTTTAGGGTTTAGGGTTTAGGGTTTAGGGGGTTTAGGGTTTAGGGTTTAGGGTTTAGGGTTTAGGTTTTTTAGGGTTTAGGGTTTCGGGTTTAGGGTTTAGGGTTTAGGGTTTAGGGTTTAGGGTTTAGGGTTTAGGGTTTAGGGTTTAGGGTTTTTAGGGTTTAGGGTTTAGGTTTAGGGTTTAGGGTTTAGGGTTTAGGGTTTTTAGGGTTTAGGGTTTAGGGTTTAGGGTTTAGGGTTTAGGGTTTAGGGTTTAGGGTTTAGGGTTTAGGGTTTAGGGTTTAGGGTTTAGGGGTGTAGGCTGCAAGGTTTTAGGGGTTTAGGGTTTAGGGCTTTAGGGGTTTTTCAGGTCTGGGGGGGTTTTAGGGTTTAGGGGGGTTTCGGGTTTTTGGGTGCTGTAGGGTGCTTCGGGCTCAAGAGTGATTTAAGGGTTTCCATTCTGCGGGCTTTAGGGGCTGTAGGGTTTTCAGGGGGTTTAGGGGTTTCAGGGGCTTATGGGGCTCTATGGGCTTTCGACTCTAACACTCTCGCGCACAGAAGGCAAAGCTTTGGTTGACATTCCGCTACACATGCAAAGAGCCTTCTCTTAAAGGGGCAGGGAGATGTCGACACTATAATTTAAGACATTTCTCGATATACGCCTAGCCACGACGGTATGGGTATCTTGTAAGCACTGCGTATCACGGGCCGGGAAGGATATTTTGCCCGCAATGAAAAAGCCTTTCATCCCTGCACCTTGGGCCCTGAACCCTGTCGAATCCCACCCCCCCAAACACTCCTTCGACACCCTTTTTTGCATCTTAGTTTCAGAGTCCTATTCGTATTGTTCTCCCTCTCATTAATCATTCTTCCGAAAGCCTTTGGTCGACTTTTGCGGGCGGCGGCGCTGAGCTCGGGGCTGAAAGCTCAAGGGCCTATTCGGTTTAGGGTTTATAGGGTTTAGGGTTTAGGGTTTAGGGTGTATACATAGGGTTTAGGGTTTCGGGTTTCGGGTTTCGGGTTAGAATTTAGAGTTTAGGGTTTAGGGTTTGGGGTTTAGGGTTCCGCAACCTCCCTGAGCCCTTCAGTGTGATCTACGGCTTTGGGCTTAGGGTTTAAGGTTGGGATGTTCCCCCTCATACTAACAATCCTTTATAGGGATTATAGTAAGGGATACTACTCCCTATAGGGATTGCTAGAAAAAGTACCCTAACTGTTCCCAGGTCCGCTATACCCCCCTTAGAACCTGAATAAAGATGCTACGTCTAATATTCCATTTTGGGCTTTATATAAGTACAAGTGGAAAATCATTCCTGAGAGGGCTGTAGTCCTACTGGAGTCCTACTACTGTGCGTCCTGAGGAGATCGCCCATGAAACTGCGTCCCATTCTGCGCATGAGCCAGAGGCCTTTGCCCAGCGCCTTTGGCTGTTTGGAGGCCTTATATAGGGCTGCGAACCTCGGTCTTCTCATGGGGCGGCCAACGATGCCTGTACAAGTTCGACAGGTTTAGGGTTTAGAGTTTAGGGTTTGGGGTTTAGGGTTTAGGGTTTAGGGTTTAGGGTTTAGGGTTTAGGGTTTAGGGAACACCATGCCACTCCACGATGCTGTGGCTCTGAGGTTGCCAACTGCCCCATGTAAGCAAAGCCATTTCAAAATGGAGCAAGACAGGGCTGTCCTTGGGAAAGCCAAGCGGCTCAAGAAGTTGAAAGAGGCTGGGCTGAAAGGCTCCAGGAACTCGGCTTACTACACTGGGTTTAGGGTTTAGGGCTTAGGGTTTAGGTTCAGGGGTGCCGCGTGTGACCTCTTGCGTGCAAAGGGGCGACAGGAAGGCACAGCATATGGGCATATGATAAGACACGGACTTTAAACCTGGGAGCGCAACTAAGTAAATAGTACCATCTAAACTAATCAAAACAAACAGGCGTGTGTATGTATCCGTATACATGCAATTATTGCGCAAGTTATTGTACAAATGCCTGGAGCACAGCAGGGACTTACCTCCAACTCAGCCTCTTTGGGCAGCAAAACGCTGCCTCTTCTGATTGCTGTGTCTTTTCCCTTGGGGAAGAAGGCTGCGAGCCCCGACAGCGTGGAAGCTCATGTTTCGAGAGCAAACGAAACAAGATTTTGACACTGAAGCGAGACTCATGGCACAAGATGCACTCATCAAGAAGGGTCCACAATCGAAACCCGGCGACACTGAGAGCTATGCAGTCATGCAGTTCGAGACATGTGCAGCTGTGGAGCTCGTAAAACGGTTTGTTGTAATCTCGCAGCTGGACGAAGTTCTGAAGGGCTTGGTGCTTCGCACTTCCATCCATGTGCCGCTTTTGTGACTCTGTTCAGATGGGCGACGCTTGAATGCAAACAAGCCCCAAGCGACTTCTCAGGAGATGTGCCATCTTAATACTATATATACCTATATAAGCTCAGATCTTTAGAGAACTTTAATGTCTAGTTCGAGTCAGCACGAGACTGGGGCAAGAACGTTGTTGGTTGGACGTCGGGCGGGTCTGCTTGCATGGTGCAAGAGCAGCTCGCGTTCACACTTCCCGCCCTCGAGCATCAAAGCTCCTTGCCAATTCGATGCATTTGCCAGGAACTCAGATTTCTAATTAGCAAACCGGCAGGTGACTTGAGCAAATCAAGGACCGGCTGATGCTGCTACTGAAAAACTTCCCCAGAAGCGAGAATCGCACACCTCTTTCTGGTTCTTTTGCAGCAAAGCAAAGCTTCCAGCAAAGTGGCTGTAAACCCGAAACCCCGTCTCAACTGCCTGGCAGACCATCGTCTTCATTCCAGCCGGCTCGACGTTCAAGCTTTCAGAGATCGACCCTTTCTCACAGAAGGAAGCCCTCGACTCCCTAAGGAGTCTATGCGAGCCTGTCCTCAGCTTCGCCTGCTCATCGTACCGGAAAGCGGCATGAGTCCGGTCCGCGAACTTCACCCCGGCACCTTCGGTGAGGTTCGTATGGCCTACGGCTTATTATGAGCTCGACCCTTGCGAATCGTGAACGCGGACTCTGCAACAAAATGAGGTGCAATAAAGGCCTTCGCAAAACGAGCTCTGGCACCGGAAACAGCGACTCTTCTGCACTTTTGCTTATATTAAAGCTGAGCCCCCCGCCCCATCCTTCTGAAGCTGGAACTCCCCAGGTCTACATGTCTATGCGGGGCCCCGGAAGCTGCGAAATCGTTCATGCCACCATTGGACGAGTCTTCAACCCTCAACCCTAGACCCTGCCGGCACATTGCATCCTCCTGGGGTAGAAGAGCCGACGTTCACGGGGAGACTTCGGAGGGCAGGCGGTCGTGTCCTGTCAGGTGCTACGAGGGCTTTTCGCTTGCGATAACGTCCCTGCTGCGCGGCAGTTGGCCCAAATCCACTGCATGCAAAAGACTCTAACCCGAATCCTCTAACCCGCGCACTCGAAGCTTCTAAGTTCTTTTTGCCTGGTAAAAAAGGAGCTTGGACCGAGATCCGACATCCCAGTAGCAGGCTGCGGTTCAACACTTGATAGTTATAGGGTTTCGGACCTCATCTTACGGGCAAGTTGCACCCGCAAGCAGTGCTCATCAAGCCGGTCACGCACGTATACACCCTGGATTACGGGGCCTCCCAGGATGGGCCTAGGCCCTATAATCCCCATAACCAACCCGATGAAGGGCCTTTTTAAGGGGTTGAGGGTTTATAGGGTTTAGGGTGTAAGGTAACATGGCCCATGCTGGTTCTTACTGTACATTGGCAATCCAAAAAACCAACAACACAAATACCAAATGAACAATGCAGCGTGTCGCGCCTGGCCCAACAGTCCCGCCGTGAACAGCGAGTGAGGGCTGGAAGGCGGCGTCTCCGTACACTGGGAGCAGGCAGCGAAGCCTCGACGTTGATTCTTCGGATGTCTTGTTGGGGATATATGGTTTCGGGTTTAGGGTTTGGAGTTTCGGGTTTAGGGTTTAGGGTTTGGGGTTTGGGGTTTAGGGTTTAGGGTTTAGGGTTACAGGGATTTGTTTATGGATCTCTTCCCAAATCCCGGAGACTGGTTCAGGGGCTTTGGGGGCACGATTGCACTTTCATGAGTAGGCTACTACACTGTGGTGCACTGTGGAAAACTCACATGCAGAGTTTGTGCCAAGAAAGTGTGAGGTCCAGCTTCGCTACTCGGCTCTGGAAGACATTGGTGACTGTGAACTTGAATGTCAGGTTTCTGAATGCAGGGGGGAACTATTGTGTTTAACAACTGGTCTTGTGAGCCCTTATACGCCCTTTTGAACTAACGCTCGTGTAAGTATAGTTTGGTGGGTTGCACAAGGTACAGAAATCAGAGTTGCACACTGCTAGAGTCCGCTAGACATCACCAACACTCCCAAAGCATGCCAACGTTGAGCTTGGCCGCTCTGCAAGTCCAGGCGCAGCCGCATATTCATGTTCCTCAAGTGGCTAATGGCCAGGATGCACATGAGTGCTGCTTCTTTATGATGATTGCAGCATGGCGGATAGTACTTATGCTGAGTGATAAGCATGAACGGCTACATCTTCAATCGAAAGCAGCTGGAGCTGACGTTCTCCCTTAAACTACATCCCCCTCCTACCGCCGAAGCTGGTCAACCCGCGCATCTCTTCAAGCCAATAAACCCATGCCGGTGCAACCCAAAGCCAGGCCACCAGATCTCAACCTTCCAAGCTTTGAACACGCCCGATTCCCTGTCAGACGCTTTAGATCCGCAAAGTCAGGCGCAGCATCTCCAAACTCTGGATGCGCATGTCGGCCATGGCGTTCTCTGCGCGGAGGGACTCAATCAGGCGGATGTGGCTGGCCTCTGCTTCATCAGGGTTTGTAGCATTCAAGGGTTCTGGGCGTTCTAGAGTCTAGAGCTTGAAGTTAATTAGAATGTTTAACAGTGTTTGGCACTTCAAGTTAATCCCCAAGTAATGCTTGTAGGCACATAATAGTCAAGGGAGTTAGTTTTATAGGTTTGACGCAGTGGGGCCCAGCACGCAGTCGCGACCTCGCATGAAATGATTCGATGACCCTCTCGGTGCTTCCGGTTTGGACACTCTCACCTTGGCGCATTCCCCGCGTGCATTTCAGGGCCTGCAAACGCCGCATCCCAAACATCGCAGTTATGAATATTAAAACGGTACCCCTTATATACCCTTACAAAATTAAGGGCCCATATAGGGACCATATTAAGGGCCCATGAAGCTAGCCTTTTTTCTCTCCTGGATGGTTTGGCTTCTCGTGCATCCCTTCTGAGGGCAAAGGCCGCTCTCACGCATCGGTCCCATGCGCAAGCTCCTTGTGAAGAGAAGAAATGCCACCGCATTTCGATGCATTCCGGGCCCATGGAGTTCTGTTTCTGACCATCTTAAAACCCGAAACCCTAAACCCCAAACCCTGTGGTGGTATTGGAGTGCTCCTGAAGTGGCTCAGCATGCTCCTGGAGTGCTCTCGCGGATGCCCCTGAAGAGGTCTTACACTACAAGTTACAAGGATAATATTATGAGGAGTACTATGATATGATGGGCGGTGTAGGCTCTTTAAGTACGTCCGAACCAACAGAACGGACGGACCCTGAAACGGTTTAAACCCAAGAACCCAAGTAAGCTTGGACAACATATACATATTCATATAAATATAGAGCACCTTAAACCTCAAATGTGTTCTTTCAGCCCTGTGGGTTCTGGGCGTGGCCCTGATTGGGGACTTAGAAAATGTAAACAGTTCTTGAGAGTCTAGATTACTTCGGGTTCATGGGCACCAGAACTTAAAAACAAAAACACTTCATGACGCTGGCGCGCTTGCCTAAACCTTCATGCCACGCCTCCTGGTTTCCACAGCTAACGAGCCTGTCCTTGGTCAAAGCGAAGCTGAATCCGAACCCCTGTGTATCCCCAAGCCCCGGGTTTAGGGTTTGGGGTTTAGGGTTTAGGGTTTGGGGAATTGTTCAAATAAACCTCAGGCGCGCTAAACTCTTCTTTCGACTGGTGGCCCTCTGTCCGAGTGCTTCTACGTTTCTATCGGACACATCAGAAAACTGGCCTTCGAACCCTGAAAGCCTCTTCCGAAACTTCCAAAACAGCTCTAAGCGCGACACTCTAGACCATGGCCTCCACCTGCTCAAGGCCTTTTAAACTTCTTCGTAAACCCGAAACCCTTAACTTTAAGCAACCTGCCTCTTGTACTGTGCGCTATACAGGGATCCAAATGGAAATCACGGAAGTGGGGTCGTAAGGCATAAGGTACACGAACAGGGGCTTTAGCGTTGGAATGGTTCCACATCAGTCGATGTGATCCCGACAGTGCCTCCAGCCGAGTGAGTCTCTGCTTACGTGCATGTCAGTCGTCATGAGCACACACACACACACACACACACACACACACACACACACACACACGCCTGAAACCCGCCCCTTTATTGCATCCGGTCTTGAGGCCCGAAGCCCTCAACTCCTGACACGCCCTCCAAAAACCCTTACAAGGGCCCCCTTGTTATAAGTAGAGTTATAAGAGCCCTAAATTGGGTTATAAGGATCCTAAATTAGGTTATATAAGTCCCTTAACTACAGTTAGTATTGTAAGGGGGCCCCTCCTTGTACACTCAAGTCCACGAGCCCAGTCTCGGCGCAAATCGCCCGCATCTCTTCGGCATCTTCCGTGACCTGGCGGCACCTCAGCCAGTCGCAGGGTGCAGGGCTCAGGGATTTCGGACTCAAGCCTGGAGATGCTTGGACTTAGAAAACTAGCCTATCAAAAGTTTAGGGTTTCCGAAATGTCAGGAAGAAGAGTTCGAAGGCAAGCCTTCCGAGATCTGTCTGGACGAGCTGAATTCAGAGGGTTTAGACAGTTTACAATAGTTTACAAGCGGCTTGGCAAAAAGAGCAAATAAGCCCACAGCACAGAGATCACATAAGCTCGACTTAATGACGAAGTCCCAAAAAAAAAGGGACCGCCGAGGAGCAGCTCCTTCTGCTCGGCGAGTTCACGGTGAAGTCGGTGAAGCTGCTGATCCTTTATCGTCATGGTAATTGTTCTTCAGGCCTTTTTCTAGTACATTCTGTTACAGTGCTACATTGGATGTTTCTCTTCTTATCTGTTTCATACCATATGTTCTATGATATTGTATTCTGTTATGTTCTGTCATGTTATGCTATATGATATATAATGACTAGTATGTCATGATGTGTATACAGATGTTACACGGAAGTATAGTATAATGGGTGCTATCCAACATACTGAATGTTCTACATCATACAGTACATACTGATTTGTCTATCCTTCATGCCGAGGCCTGGGGAGTTCACTTTGCATCGCTTTGTGTACAAGGGAGAAGAAGGACAGCACTCTCTGTGCACTGGGACAGAGTGCACCAAAGGCCTGTGCAGCCTCCAGTGCCCACCGAAGTGGCATGGTATCGTATCGTATCGCTGTACCGCGGCTCTGGCACGGCCATGGCCGGCCAAGCTCGTAGCAGCGCGTTGCCCAATTTTGGTTCTTGGCTGTTTCTAGTAAACTACCTCTTCTTCCTTGAATACTTTTTTCTCTTCACAACAATTGGTAGCACGCTCTTCAGCAGTTCTGCCGGCTTTGTCTGTTCAGTTGTGGCACGGACATCGAACCCTCCAAGGCCCCTGGAACTTGTATACCAAAACGCCTGAAATCCCTAAAGACCCTACACCCCGAACCCTGAAAACCTTTCAGCTCTTCTTGGGAGCCTCGGGGTCCACACCACCCATTTCCGCGCCTTCGCTTCCACCAGTTGGCTCTTGGCATCCTCCCTGGAGAGGGACTGGTGCAGCTCCTCGAAGGCTTCGGGATTGAATTGCAGGCCCTAAACCCAAAACCCTAAACCCCTAAATTCCAAACCCCAGACCCTTAACCCTAAACCCTAGACCCAGGCCGATTTTTTCGGCCTGGGCCAGACCTATTTATGCGACGTACGTCAACTTGCCATTATGAGGCTCAAGGTAGGGAATTAAGTCTCACGCAAACACAAGGCTGGCGAGGAAATGGTTCGAGAGGGAAATCCAGCTTCAGATGTCAGAATTGGTGCCTTCAGGGTTTCAAGGCCCTAAACCCTATGAACCCTTGCGTTGAACTGGGGAGCCTGGTCTGACTGAAAGTGTCGCTTCTACTATGAGGTCTGAGGCATTTTCGTCCCTCCGCATCCGGGGGCCCTTTTGAACCCCCAGTTGTCCACGCCTGAAGCTTCAAACGCATGGCTCGGGCCAGGCGCTCCGCAGTGGAAGACTCGGACAAGGAGAGGACCTGGAGACGGGCAGTGATCGGTTTAGTCTATTTAGGCTTTCAGGGTCCATGAGCATTTCAAGGGTTTAGAGCTAAGAGTTTACTAAGGGTGCTCATGGCGTTAAGACTTTGTAAGACGGTTCTGGGGGGGTTTAAGAACACCAGCACCAAGCCCTGAACCGGACGTCGGGTCTCGGCTTCTTTCCGGCCTTGGGGTGTGGAGATGTCAAAGAAGTTAAGCGCACCCGAAGGCTCAAATGGTCTCAAAACCTTCGAAATGAAGGCCTTTTGGCCCCAAAAACCCTAAAATGAGAGGCCTTGGAGCCTTAGGGGAATTTGCTTCGGGTGGGGTTGAGAAATTTAGATGGTTTCAGGTTTGGGATTGCTCATCGTGTCCAACTCTGACAACAGGGAGTTAAGCTCTGCATGCCTCCTATTCCCGAGGCTTGCTGCAACAGCGAGCCCAAAGTAACGGTTGCGGCCGAACCTTGATAAAGTCCATGTTAACAGTCTTTAGCGATGGGTTTCGCACCTCTAACCCAGTGACTGCCAGCCAAAAAATCTGGAAGTCCTTCCTCCGCAAGCCAACCCTAGAGAGCTCCTTCCGCACGTTCGCCAACTCCAGTTCTTTGGCTTGTAGCAACCTTGGCTGGTCTCAGGGTGTCAGGGCCTGTCAGGGGAGTGATATTTCTTCACGTGGGCTTTTGTGTTAGCCGTGCGTGGGTCAGCTGGTGTCTCACACTAAGGTCAGCGATCAGGGCACCGAAAATGCGGGTCTGGATGGTAACGGGTGTGTTCATACGCCCCGTGCTGAAACCCCCGGCTCCCACAAACCCTTCTTGCTACTGGACTGCGAACAACTGCCAGGACAAGACACAACACCCCTCCCACTCCCTAAACCCTAAACCCTAGTGGGAAGTGTAAGAAAAAGCCCCAGCAGGTGGCGTAGGTCCAAGCCCCTATCCCCATAATGTCAACCACAACGCCTCATGACTTGGAACGCAGCAGTCAAACTTACCACAAGAAGGAATGAGCTCTGCAGGAACAAGTGGTGCTCTAACAAAACCCTAAGCCCTAGAAACCCTATAGATGAAAGCCCTAAACCCCTGCAGAAACCCTAAAACCCTGAAAACCCCTATATAACACCCGGAAAACAAAACAAAACTCAAAAGCCCTACCAGACCCTGAAATCTTCAACTTTAGACCTCACGCCGACTGACCCCCCCCCCCCCAAAAAAAAAAAGCCTAAGCAACACTAAAACACCCGAAAAGAAATAAACCCTAAAGAGCCGTGAAAAAACCCTAAAAAACCTTAAAACCCTCAAAAGCCCTCAGCCTCAAACCCCATGAAACCCTTAAAAAAGAAATCCTACATAAAGCGCCGTGCGGTCGACTCTTCCAGGCCCTCTCGGGCACGGAGCTCCGTGCGCAGCGTCTCCAGCTCGGCACGCCTCGATCCGACTCCCGGGGGGCTGTTCGGCTTTGGGGCGGTTTAGGGTTTGGGTTTGTTTTTGTTTTCTGGGGGGGGGGGTTTTGGGGTTGTAGGGGTTTAGGGCTTAAGTTTTGGGGGTTTAGGATTTAGGACTTCAGAGATTTTTCCTTTTCTGGGCTTTTGGGGGCTGCTAAGGCGTTTCGGGTTTGTGGTTTTCTGCATGCACTCTCTGCAACAGCTCTCGTGGAAATCTGCCAAGTGGTCTGCGCGAACGCCGAAGGCAAGGTGCCTTTCATGAGTTTTCCTTTCCCTTCCGCCTTAGCTAAGGCGGGTTTCCGGTATAGGCGTTTCGAAAGGATCTCCCTGCTGTCAGTCCGGACAATATTCCATCGACAGGAAGGCATCGCCTCGATGAAAATTAAACGCCTTGACAACTTTTCGTGTGCATTCGCATTCCGATGTCTGAGTAGGCATGCTTCATTTGTGTGGAAGGCGGGCGCCTTTAATTGGTTGAGGCGTCGACCCTCCGCCGATTCCCAAGCCACAGAGCAAAAACTCGACATCCACACCCCTTTTAGAACTCGCCCCCGCCCTTGACACCCTTAGCCTCTGCAACCCTAAACCCCGTATTCCTACAAGCCCCCGCCCCCCCCAAAACCCTGAATCCTAAATCCTAAACCCGAACTCCCCGCCCCACTCAAACAAAAAAACCACGACGCCGCCACGCAGCTCTGACAAGGCAGCACCCCGATCCGCACGCAGCTTGGTGACCTCAGTGCGCCGGTCAGCGAGCTCCTGAAGAGCAGGCTTAGGGTTTAGGGGTTTAGGGGTTTAGGGCTTAGGGTCTAGGGTTTAGTCGCTGATTCTCGCAGAAGCCAGGCAAGGGAGGGTTTAGGGTTCAGGGTTTATAGGGTTTATAGGGTTTATAGGGTTTATAGGGTTTATAGGGTTATAGGGTTATAGGGTTTTGGGTTTACTCGGTGCTATCTCTGAGTCTGAGCAACTGGGTTTAGGGTTTAGGGTTTCGGGTTTAGGGTTTAGGGGTTTAGGGGTTTAGGGGTTTAGGGGTTTAGGGGTTTAGGGGTTTAGGGGTTTAGGGGTTTAGGGGTTTAGGGGTTTAGGGTTCAGGGTTTGCAGGGTCTAGGGTTTATAGGGGGTTTACAGGGTAGAGGGTTTACAAGTTTTTCGGCGGGAATCGGGAAATTAGGTATAACTAGGTGCCTTCTTACCCCTATGAAGACCCTAAGAAGTGTTCCCAAAACGGCTTTGGGATTTCGGGAGAGGGTATGGGAAGAAGGGGTACCTGTTGGCGCGAGCGTGGTCCAAGAGGCACAAGCCCGAAGAAACGCATGGTGGCCAAAAGCCCACCACTTGGTACATATTTGTCCGAGATGTCCCAAACAGATTAAACTAAAAATCGAAAATGTATGGAGTGAGAACAGTCCTCTTGAATGGACCGATTTCGCGATTTTGTTTGAGAGGAGAGGTTTCCACGAACGGGAAATTCGAGTGGCCGAACGAGCCAAAAATGGCTGCAGAAAGCTGCGCGCAAAGCAGCGCAAGGTGCTGTAAGCTCAGCTACAGAAACTTTGTAACCCCCGAAACCCTCAACCGAAACCTCTACACAATGTCACCGAGTGATATCCTCTTGCAGCCGGCGAAGCTCCGCATCCTTCGCCACCAGCAGCCTCAGAGCAGAGACTGAGGAGGTTTACAGGGCTCACACGCTTGTATCGCACCTGAATTTTAATAAGTATCGCTAGATTTTAGGCAGCGCTGAACCCTAAAACCAATGCTCGCTCTCAACTAAACCCCTTAAAACCCTACACCGTCCGGCGACTATCTGAGTCTCGCTGCATCCCTGGCTTGCCTCCTTGGGCAAGAACCATGGCTACGCCATGACCCCACTGGCATGGTTGCACACATCTTCACTGAAGACTTCAGAAAGAACAGGCCCAGAACAAGGCGTGTAGCACTCTATAGCTACCCTGTGATCTCAAGTGCCGCATATCTTGATTGACATTGAAGGCCCGCTTGGCTAAGCCCTCAAACCTTGAAGATCACGAAGCCCCCGAGTTGACTCCCTGTAGGGTTTAGGGTTTTTGTGCACAGGCGGGCAGGTTCGGGTGTATAAGAGCTAGGGGGGTTTTGAGGGCTGAGACCACAAACAAGTTCACCATGTCGCTCTCAGACCCTCTGCAAGCCTCCCAGTACAAGACTCCAAACGTTGCAGAAGCTCAGAGCTTACAAGGTTTTGCCAAACCAATGGGCAGCATGAGTCCCGGCCATACATGATAGAGGTTCAGAATATTGGTACTTAAAATTGTTGCGATTAATACCGTCGTTGTTGGTAGTAACATCTTTCTCATAACTAGGGCCGCGCTTGAATCGGCGGCCAACGGACGTACATCTGCCAAGCGGCTTCTCCAAGCTCCGTAGCTGCGATACGCCGGCTGGTACTAGCTCCTCCTGCTCCTTTCATGTCTCAATGTCAATCACTGCTTTTTTGATCGTCCAGCAGTTCCCAGAGTTCTTTTTGTAGAGGGTTTAGGGGCAGTCCCTGGTTCGAGATCGAGGGCTGAGATTGAACTTTTTTCTTTTCTAGAGGCTTGCCGAGGGGCCGGGGCCTTGAGAGCTTTGCCGTATGTAGCTGTAGTCAGACACATCTATCGGGGAAAAAATGGTTCCAGGGATTCACATGTGAACTATGTCGATGTTGCAAAATGTCGCATGCATGGCATGAACATGACGGGATCAACCCCGAACCCGCACTTGATCTCTCTCTCCCTTCCTTCCTTCCTTCCTTCCGGGGGAGGCCCGCCCGAAGGCGAGCGGCCACCGACTCTCTGTGAAACGCCCCGCCAATTTCCTCGAATTCCAGGGAACCTAAATTTCCCACTATACCCACCCCTCTCTGCCTCTCTCTGCCCAGACCAAATCCAAACCCTGGGTATCAGCACTACAGACCCCTGCCCGTCATCGGATTCCCTTGGCGCCTCACACGGCTGTCTGCAATGCAGCTGCAAGTTCCGGGAACTCAGGTGCTTCTCCCGCTCCTGGAGTCTTTCTAAACCCCCAGAGTATGTAAACCTATAGAACCTTTTGTTTATGAGTTTGGGGACATCCTTTCATGTCCAGCGGTCTAGGAGGGGGTTTTGGGTTATCTCGGAAGGTTCGGCGTGTAGTTGGGCTTTGGCACTAAGGATAGGAAAGGCAGGGCTCGGCATCTGCAGCAAGAACTCCTTGACTGAATCCGAGCCTGCGGGACCTTTCAAAGTATATTATCGCATGCCCTGACACCCTTAAACCATGACCAAAAACCATAACCCCTCACTGAATGATGAGAGAGGAATGTGTTAGGTTTTGGTCCGGCATCCAGAGTGCTTTTATGGGGGCCTCGGCCACAGCCAAACAAGGCTCAAACCCGATGCTGAGCCGCCTAACTTCTTATATATATATATATATGTATATATACATATATATATATTATGTGCTTTTACATATTCTATATGGACTCCGGGGTCTACAAAAGCCGAAGAAACCCAAAGTCTCCCGCTTCAGCGCATCCCTACGTCTCAGGGCGGTGCGGGAACAGAACAGCACAAAGGAGTGCATTATGTGCAGAATGCTCTCTGAGCGATGGGTTATATTTTCCATATACATATACACACATCTTCTCCAAATTAAATAAGTACATACTTATCCTTAAACCCCTTCAGACGCCCCAATCCGCAGCAAGGAACCAGCGAGTCAGCAAGCTGTTGCTGCAGATTCGCGGCATCTGCGCGGAACCGGGCCACGCTGGCCTCCAGATGAGTTTTAACGGTTGGAGGTTTAGGGTTTAGGTTGGAGTCTGAGACAGACTTGGAAGTTCAGAAGGCTACTTTGGGCTGAGAATATCGGATTGGGAAGCCGTTTGAATCCTAAATGCTTTGGATCCGAGGTGCCACTTGCCACGTAAGCACCCTCACACTCTACTTTTTAATCTGCCAAGGAATTTGGGGGGCTTGGGCAATTGCTTCAGTTGGTTTGGCAACTTGTCGGCATGCTACAAAAAAGCTGCATTCACTCATTCCAGGCGCAGGCTTCTTGATTGCAAAGGGCATTGGTCAGGCAACGTACCCCTCAGGCCTGAGCTTACAAGAAGCAACCTGACACAACACAATCCTGCAGCAAACACCTGCAGGAAGGAAGCCTTAATGCGAGAGCAGTGCTGGCGAGCGCACACACACACACTCAAATATAGATGTCTGCAAGGTTGATTTGTGTATGGGGAACATCTGAGTTGTGTCATCGCATGAAGGAATACCAGTAGGTCATGTATATGTTGTGACTACACCGACTACACCGTACCCTCGACTTGCATCTTGTGATCGTGTGCTGGCAGAACGGAATCATCCAGAGTGGAGCTCCGAACAAGAACGAGCATGAACCATCCACAGCTTGATTTACAAGACGTTTATGTTAAAGCAATCACCAAGGGTCACGTTCCAATGCTTCGAACTTCGTTTCTTGCAATGCACATAGACTAACGGGATGGCTATTCCGCCTGCTTTTTGCTTGTGTTCACGTCAGCACACACGAGTCTCCATCCGCTGCACACTGCAGAACCCTTGTCCTGCGCGTCCAAGTAGAGCGCGTGCCAGTGATTCGCTTGCCGCAGGAGGGTCTCCTCGGCTTGCACCTCGAGCAATCACCAACAGCACATCCGCAGCGTGCCCTGGGGCATATCGGCTGAAACCCCGCACGCGCCCCGAGCCCCTCCACTGCTAGAGCGGCAGACTTCTTTACACAATTGTCAGCATTCACTTAGCCGCGAACCTCGGGCAGAGGGCTTTGAGCTGGTTGCACCTCCTTTCAAGCACCGAGTGTAGTGATGAACTCAAGAGCCGCAAACTGGCACGATTCCACATATTGCCATCCCCGTCGTGCTACAGAGCACACAGGCACGGACTAGGTCTTCTTGCTCTCAAGGCTCTTCAACTCCTTGCCCACCCCCCCCACCCCCCCCCCCCCACTCGCCCTCTCCTCTGCTGTTGGTGCTTCCGACTCCTTGGCCTCCTTGATACGACGAACGGCAATGGGATCACTGATGGGGTCAGGGGTGGGATGCACATTGGGTGGCAACACCTGCTGAGTATGTCGTCATTCCACTCTAGACAGACCCCAGCATAATGACGCAATGACAATGACGTAAATGGCATCACGTAGCTTACCAAACGCCAGACATTCTGTTGTTTTTAAGGCCATAGGTGGGATGACCAGCACGGCGAGCGCAGCGATGGAATCAACGACTAAGGTCGCAGGTAGTTTCGTGGGAGCTGGACATCGGAGCTCTCCCGGATTCAGATTCCTGCCTCGACTGGCGCCGGCTGATCAGACGACATGGAATGGCACTCCGCGTCTCAAATGCTTTTGACTTTTGTCTCTACGTGATAGTTTGTACAGATATGTATCTATATATATATATACAATCATATACACATGCGCTTTGTTGAAACAAGTTCTTGCCGGGTTGGGTGGCATGCTGGAGTGCAACATTCCGAAAGAAGACTACTTCTACGAGCAGCCGTTCCCACGAGAAGTCTCAGCGAAAATTGATGTTTCTTGGCATGTTCGCACCACCCTATCTCGGACAACCCGGGCGTAGAGCTTCGAGCCACACAGAGTCAAGGAGCAACGCGGCATGCAATGGCAGGACAGGGATGTCTTTCCCTGATCTACGTGCATGCGTTCGAGACATCGGCCTTGCTGATACATCCAGCGGCCTAGGAGTGTCCCGGCATGAACGAACGGCTCAACTAAGGAGAAGCGTGCCTGCAAGCAGCAAAGTGACCTGAACACGTGGGCGTCAGCAGAACACACACGCGCGCAACACGTCAACATGTAGGTGGAGCTGATTACTGCTGGTCCGGATTTCGCCTGTTTGGGGTCTGGCTTCGTGACTAAGACCACGAAAATAAATTTTTTGGGATTCTTGGGGGTCATATCTAACCCATCATCAGCCATCAGCCATCGGCAAGGCAAGCCGGGCTCCGCGACAGATTTGTGACCACGGCCGTCTCGGCCGCCCGTATCTGTCTCCAGAGGCCTGTGCCTCTCCAGTCAACACAGTAAACCTACATCCAAAGCCCCTGTCAAATACCCTCTACACCCGAAACCCCATTCTGCTCTTCTGTCTCAACCCCTATGAAGCCATAAGACCTGTAAAGCCCCGACCCTCAGACCCCTAATATGCACTCAAACTCGTAATCAAAGCCTCCAAAACTCATAGTTACATGATGCCTTAATGTGGGGCCTTGATTGGGGAAACCGTATATGCCCCTTATATACCCTAAAAAACTCAAGGCCCTACTTCAGAACCTCTAAAGAAGGTACGGGACAATACTAAGGGGCTCGTATAATGACTACCCTTTCATTCTGGGTCGAACCCAAAACCTCAAACCCTGGCTTCGACAAGCCCCTTCACCAAAGCCCCTAACCACTTCCCTTAAAACTTCCTCGACCCCAAGAGCCCTGTCATCGTATGCCTTGGCGCTTTGCCCTCTCCTTCACCTCAGAGGGGTAGATGAGGTCCCGGCCTGGCTGTAGCGAGGATTAGGGTTCAGGACTCACAGAGATAGGGCTTTCGGTAGGTTTCATGGTCTTAAGGAGATGAGGCGGTACCGGGTTTAGCAATGTGGTGACTGCGTCACTCATCTTACTCATGTTATTCAAGTTGCCTCAAAGGCACTTGATTGAATCTTCCATCTGAAGCGATGATGGAAAAAATGCTCTGCTGCCAAAAACGCAACAACTGTTTGTTGAGCCTAGCAAAATTTACGAGAAACCGCCGTTTCCTTCAGACATGTCCGTTTCGGTTTTTGACGAGTGGCATCAGCAGTATGACAACATCAAGACAAAAACTGTCCATACTCTTGAGATACTACATTGACAGCACTCGATTCACTGAGTGTAAAAATCACTCAGTGGTGGGTCTAGCGAAGGTAGGGATCGTAGGGCCATCTACAACTCTGGACACTTGCCTGGGCTGAAAACTGCCAAATCTAGGCCTTGCTGTCTGCAGACCTCGTGCCAAGACAGGAACCCGACCCCCCCCCCCCCTCAAAGAGAGAAAGCTGGGCAGCCAGGCCCCAAAGCACCTTGGATGGCTGGCCAGGTCTGGTTGAACTCAGGCTTCAGTGTAGTTGTAGCGGTAGCAGTCATCGTAGTCGAATAGTTGTGGTCGTGGTTATTGTCATGATCGCAGCTATAGTCGTGGCGGCAAAATCGTTACTAGTGGGAGGAATCGTCGTCGTCGCGGTGATTGTGGTGGTGGTAGTGGTGGTGGTGGTGGCGGTGGCGGTGGCGGTGGCGGCGGTGATGGTGGTGGTGGTGGAGGCGGTGGTAGTGGCGGTGGTGGTGGTGGTGGTGATGGTGGTGACAGCGGCGGTGGCGTTGGCGGTGGCAGTGGCGGCGCAGCAGAAGTAGTCGTCTCAATAGTTGTGGGAGTAAGGTCTTCGTCGGAGTCTTGTAATCGTCGTAGTAGCAGTCGTCGTCGAGGTAGTGAAATAGTGATGGGGAATTGGCTTAGAGGGGTGAAGATGGCCCCGCAGGAGCAAAAGCGCGAGTGCCCACACACTAAGCTGTAATTAGAGGGCTTGCGGCTGACAACGAAGGAACACTTCCAGACCGACCCGGTGCAATTCTCAAAGCTTCCAATGGGAGGTGCAGGATCTCTAAACCAAACCCGGCACACACATAACGTTAGCAGAGGGTAGGATGATCCGCAGGCAACCTTGATGTCAACCTCTTGATGGTGTTCGCCTTCTACACCCACAACTGCAGCATAAGGGCCTGTACTCATTCCACGACTCTTCTTGCTTCAGTGGCACCTGCAAGCAATCCTCGTAGCACCACGCAGCATCTGCGTAGCGGCCTGCTTTGCTTCGGTCAGGGGACTTTGGGATACCTCATCCTGTTTGGATCATGACGGCTGGTATGGATCTGCATCCTTCAGTCCTGGACCCTGTATGAGTAGGAACCGGTTGATCAGAGTCCTAGGCTCCTAAGAGACGACTTGAGTACAGCCCGCAGAGAGTGACCCTGGGATGGGGCTGGGGTGCCGATCAGGAGGGAAACTCTTCTCTCAAATCCCTCAACCCTAAGCCCATCCCAAGTGCCTAACAAACAGAAGTGGACCCTTGAGCCCTCCTTGTCTAGGGGTTTAGTATAGGGCGTAGGGTGCAGGGCTCCTTGCCGTACGTGCTCATTGCCGCTCTCACGGAGCTGCTGCACCTTGCAGGGGTCGGTCTTTTTGGGGGCGTTTAGCGTTTCGGAGCCTTAGGCTAACTCCGGGATACAGGGATGCCATGGAGTTGACAGATCCTGTGCAAATCAAAATTAGAGTGTGTCGTCGACCGCCAAGCTATGCGGCTAAGGGGGCAAGGGAGTCCTAATCGGGAGGAAGTCGCATGAGCTGTGACGACGCTGCCGGCACTGCGGCGTAGGATTGAATGGTCTAGCAGGCACTTGCTATTCCGCATGGTTGTTACTATTGTTGCTAGTATATGGGGGTTTCCGAAAGTAGGGGTGCCTTTTTGAGATGCTATTCTATTTGGGGTGAAAAAGGGGTACCCCCATTTCGGGAAATGCCCATATCTTGATTATGATCATGATTATTCATCTTGCCTGTTGCAACAGGTCTTCGTCATCCAAGAAGGATTCGAGTTGAGCAAGCACCTGCAGCAGGCCAGCTTGGAAATCTCGAGGGGCAACTACAAAGCTCAGACATGTTTAACCC